AGAGAGAGAGAGAGAGAGAGAGAGAGAGAGAGAGAGAGAGCGAGAGAGGCGAAAATAAATTGATAGGAATGAATAGAGTAGACCAGTATAGTCAATTGAAGATTACGATGCGCAAGCGGAAGATATGGCGCAGGGCGATTGTTCATTAATAGTCTTCGTAATTGCAGTTTTTATTCCGTCGTTTTTTGTCTGTTCGATGCAGAATGGATGTCGAAGAGAAGGTAACTGGCAACAGCCACCAAATAGAAGGATTTCAGCGGCAGAACACGGAACTCTCGACAGAACTTAGATGCAAGCAACAGCAACTAGAGGAATTCTCGATAGAGAAGGTATAACTGCTTTGAGACTACTTACATCTACAACGCAATGATGTTCTTTATTAACTAATTTATCAATGATGTCAACCACAGCTTCGCTACTCTATAGACTGTTTGCTGAATCAGTGTATATTTTTCTCTCTAGTGTTAACTTCCAACAGGTTATTGCTGATCAGGAGTTCATCATAATTAACACATCGAAAGGACATGCATAAATCTCGCTGACATATTTTCGGGCAATGACAAATATATAGCGGGAACTCATTTCTGACGCTGAGGATTTTACTCGTATACATCTCCGTACATGCGTACTGTTGCAGGAATCACTCTGTCAATCATTGGATTTAGTGAAGGCTCTATTAGACAGAGAAACACTTGACCACATGGCGAGTAGACAGAAACTTTCGGAAGCGAATTCATTTATAAGCAGATCACAAGCAATGGTGGTGAGTATAGGCGACAGATGTATGTGCGTGTATAATATATATACAGTGAAAAATTCACATAATAGTAACCACATACGTTATATATACCACGTATTACGACTTCTTTTCTGAGACTACTAATTAATTTGGTTTTTGGTTTTAATTTTTGTAGGCGGCGCCAGAACCCCCTCTTGCTGACATCACACACACCCCACCTCCGATCCAAGCACCGCCGCCCTCACCTCCTCCCCCAACTGCACCACCACCCCCTCCTCCTCCTCCTCCCCCTGGTCCACCACCACCACCACCGCCACCACGGCCCCCATCAGCGTCACGACTCATGCAAACCCCAGGTAAGGATCACGTCCTATCCCCAGATTAGTGGTGTGGAAGCGACAACTTTGCACTTTCGGTAGTTAAGAGACGTAATATATACCGAAATGCATACCCTAAAGATATTTAATGTAATGCTATAACATATAGTGTAACTGATGAATCTTTTATTAATCAATCATATAGTACGTAACATTTAAACAATGGCGTTTACCTAAACTAGCAACACAATGAGTACCGCCATCCATTTTTACGAGCAACAATATACAACATTTATCCAGCGTGAAATAGTAAGCGAGCTATAGGCCTACATAGTGGAAGTGACACTTTGTATTAGTGCAACATTGTTACATGCTATTTGAACAAGTTAAGCGCATATTTGTTGGTTTCAATATGAATTTATCATAACGTGTGTAACCACATTGATGCTGTTAGCAGGATCTTCACCCGAACTGTTAAAGATAGAAGAGCAGCAAACGCAGACGGCAGCTGCTAAAAAGAAAAACATACCGACGCCGAACACTCCGCTGAAGTCATTCAACTGGTCAAAGCTACACGAGGTATTCCCGCATTATACATTAACGAGGTATTCTGTAGCGTTATACATTAACAAATCATACGAAACATTGCTTGTTATCATTTCACTTGACTATTCGAGCTTTCTCTCGCAAGATTCAACGTATTTTTAATTGCTTTACTCACTATAATTTTTTAAGAAGTTAAAAGAACGCGATTTCGCACGCACTATAATAAAAGTCAAAGCTATTTCGCATTGTAAACCATCAGCAGTACAGTTTAGTGAATGTCTTGCCGTTTGTTGCAGACACAAGTGAAGGGAACCGTGTGGACAGAAATAAACGAAGAGAAACTCTACAGTAATCTTAATCTAGTAGAATTCGAGAGGAACTTCTCTGCATATCAACGGGTAATAGTTACAGTACGGACGTATCTGTAATATAGAGTATTAAATAGGTTTTGTGATATTTACTAACATTTCATTATACTCGTAACAATTTGCTGCTTGTATTCCGGATAGCATGATAGCACGTCAGATGACTGTAAATCGCCCATAAGGAGATCTAAGGAGTTGTCGGTGATAGACGGACGAAGGGCGCAAAACTGCACGATTATGCTGTCCAAGCTACGCATGACAAACCCCGAGGTCACAGCAGTCATAATGGACATGGACAGGGACGATCTAATATCCAAAGATCTGTGCGAACAGGTGAAATAGCTGGCGCGGTCATCTCTTTCGGTCGTAGCTTGTCGTGACTTGAGCGAGTAAATTTTGACTCGTCTCCCTCCGCCGCTTAGTATTGCGCAGCTTTGTGAAATTTATTGTTGCATGATCATTAAATCTATCACACCGACGTCATTTTCACCTTAAATACAAGACAGGAGGCGGCCATTGAAGTCGGTCACTTCGTTTTTCTCTCTTCTCGAGATAATCATAAACTTCACGAATTCATTGTTAATCATGGCTAATGGGTGCTTGTATGTTCTAGATGTTGAAATTTGTGCCAACATCTGAAGAGGTGGCTATGTTAGACGAACAAAGTCATGAGCTAGAGAGCATGGCGAGAGCCGATAGCTTCCTCTATGATATGAGCCATATCGTGCACTATGAAGACAGGCTTAAGGCGCTCTGCTACAGAAAGAAGTTTGCTGAAAGAGTTAGCGACATACGGCCGAAGCTTGATGGTGAGAACAAAGTTCACCATCACTGATCATGAATATGTCACTTTATGTATGATTAAACCCAGACACCAAATATTTCGCTAATACCACAAGATTTCGTTAATACAAATCACGTTTCACGCAACAATTAATCCTTAATTAACCGAAACTTCAACTTAACAACTAAAACATCAACTGTTGCGCTTTTACAGGCCGCAAGAACGTCAAATATAGCTTTTTATACAAAAAGTAATGGTGATGCAAAAATAGTTGTAACAACAGCAGTTATTTTGACAGGGGTACGGCAAGTGTCTAAGGAGGTGTACAGAAGCAAGCGGCTGAGGAGAATACTGGAGCTGGTTCTAGCGTTTGGCAACTTCATGAACCGCGGGCAGCGAGGCAACGCCGTCGGCTTTAAAATCTCTAGTCTAAACAGGATGGTAGACACAAAGTCGAGCCTGGACAAGAACGTTACCCTCTTGCACTACATGGTAGAGACGATGGAACAGCAGGTATTCATATATTCAGTCAGCGGAAAGGCGCATTTGCTTGACCGGTTATATATATATATATAATTATAATATACATATATACCGGTTATAATATAGATTCCTGTAGTTTCGTTATTAATACATTCAATTAGCAAAGACGACGACGACGCGAAAATGAACGCAGTGTTAGTGTTCCTCGTTCCAGGTATGGTGGGTGCCACGACCACGAGTATATACTCGATAAACACAATTTCTAGTAGCAGTTGGAATTTCTAGTCGCACCCAGGATACTGTTAGGGTTACGGACCGGTAACACTGTAAATGGCATTGCAACATAACTATTCATCAAATTCAATCAAACTCATATCCATTACATACGAGAGATGTCTCTCTACGCTCTCGTTAAAATAAAAATAAATTAATTCATCGCTAATTAATTGACGGCAAAAATTTTGAATTTATACAAAAACATGCTTTTTTTGCTATTTCTCAGAAACAGCAGAGTTGGTACCTAAACTTTTAACCATAAGTTGTTCATAATATGAACTAAAAAATGGTCCCTGGAATTTTTTTTAAATGCTTTAATTTTGGAAATAAGTTGAAAAGATGCACACAAATTTGTAGTGAATTTCTAAACGCAACAATATCGTAAACAAAGAGCATTAACTTATAAAATATAATGTTTTTTTTTAAATCTAGGGAGACTTTTTTCCTTTGATATGTTAGCATTGAAACATAAAAAAAATTTTGGAATCGGAGTTGCGAGTTTCGAGAAATAGCGCTTGAAAAATCATAGCATTTTTAGCATTTTTAACAACCGAGATATCAGCACTTTTCTAAATTTCCCATCATTGAACGCCTGTGTTAAGAATTGACAAATGCGGGGATTTGGAACTGTTTGGGAGGCTACATACATAATTTCTACGTATACATAGCTGCCCATGGTTGCGATCTATCAAATGAAGTGGGTATTGAAATTTCGACCGAAATTCACCTCCCAACCCTAACAGTATGTTTTCTTTCGTACAGTTTCCTGATTTGGTGCAAGTGTTGGAAGAGCTGCAACATGTAAGCGTCGCAGCAAAGGTCAAGTAAGTAGCACCCGCCAAAAACAATATAATCAATTTAATCATCATCTGTAGTACTTAGGTCTCTACTGTTTTCATGTAATAATAGGAAATATATGTGGCAACAATTCATAGTAGCGTCATTGACTGCCAGCATGAATACCACTGAAAGGTCACAGATCACGCACGCCACGTTTGGCCCGCACGCCACGCCCGCCGCACCACGCATCGCTCCGCTCAGCCCGACACGCACCGCGGCACCACGCACCGCGACACGTAGCCCGCACGCACGTCCGCACGCCCCACGTTCCGCCCGCCCGCCCGGAGCCGCCCCGCCGCCCGCCCAAGGTCTCGACGGTGCGTTGAAGAAAAAAAAAAAGAAAAAAAAAAATAAAAAAAAAAAAAAAAAAAGGGGTACCGCCAGCCCACCGCACGCACGCACGCAGCGCACGCACGCCCGCACGCAACTAACTCCGCGCACACTGTGGAGTGTCGCACTGCCGACGCACTCATGTCCGCACGCCGACATACGCACGCACGGCGCACTGCGACACGGCACGCACGCCGCACGCACACCGCACGGCACGCCCGCACGCAGCGCACGCACGACCACGCCGACACGCACGCACGCCGGACAAGACGCACGCACGCCGACACGCCCCGCCCGCACGCACGGCCGGCACGCCGACACGCACGCACGCCCGCCACGCACGCACGCTCCGCACGCACTCACGCTCGCACGCCTCACGCCCGCACGCACCCCGTTCCCGCTTGCGCACCACGCACGCTGACTCGCCGCCTGCACGCGCCACCCGCATCTGCCGACACGTTACGCCCGCACGCACGGCCGCCACGCCGACAACGCACGCACGCACACCGCCCGCACGCGTACCGTCACGCAGCCGCCGACACGCCCGCCCGCACGCACGCCCGCACGCACGGCCGCACGCGACACGTCCGCACGCCCGCACGCACTCACGTCCGCACGCACGCACACACATAAATAGCACTGTCAGACGTAAACAGCACTGTTAAACAGAACATAATGGATCACGTTTGAAAGAAATAAAATTTCATTTTACAGTTTGGCAGAACTTGAAAAGGAGTTGTCAGTTCTACAAAGTGGACTCAAGGACTTAGATGAGGTACGCGTTGCCATACTCATGACTTTTAAAGGCGGTCTGGGTGGCAAGAATGAAAGATTTGATTTACGGTAGTAAATAATGGTTTTGCTATTAGTGTTAGGAAAAGCCAGCCATTTTCATTGAAGGGATAAATACAGCCTGCTTCCTAGTTTTAATTGCCATCATGTTAATTTTGTTAATTTGGTTTTTTTAATTGTTTAATTTGTAGTACGTTAAGTGTATTTACGTTTTAGGAGGTTCACTTTCACAAATGCGAAGGCAAAGAAGATAAGAACATAGCGAAACGAGACAAGTTCGTTCCTGTGATGTCATCCTTCACCAAGGAAGCGAGCAGCAGCTTGGCCGACCTTGACGAACGAATGTCAAGAAGCAAACAATGGGTAAGTGCATACATAGTATAAATAATTATAATATATATATATAAAAAAACAAATTCAAATGATAGGTTAAGGGTGTTTAAAATTTAATTAACAAGCTTTCGAGATGACATAAGAATCGAACCTTCAAGAATCGTCAAAGGTTTGATTCTTATGTCCGCTGAAAACCTGATGAAGAGATGTACATCTCGAAAGCTTGTTAATTAAACTTTAAACACCCTTAACCTACAATTTGAATTTTTTTTTTTATCTACATGGGCGTTCGTGTGCGATTTTTACTTCTATATATATATATATATATATATATAAATTATATAATTATTGTACTATCATATATACGGTTTGAAACGTACCGGTACTGAGGAAAACCTGGGTTACGATGCTCTTACTAACGAGGCGATTGTCACGAGCTATTAATCTTTTTTTCAGTTTGAACGAGCGTGCAAATTGTTTGGTGAAGATTCTAAGATCATACAGCCAGACGAGTTCTATGGCATCCTCGACCAATTCTTCACAAGCCTCAGAGAGGCGAAGATGGACAACAGCAACGCGAAGCGAAAGAGAATGGAGGAGGAGAGAAGAGCAGTAATGGAACAGGAGGTAAATTCCAAAACAACTAGCATCTTTCTCCCTTGCCCCTCCCGCTATCTGATTCTTCTTTCTTTCTTTCTCTCTTTCTTTCTTTCTGTCTCGCTCTCTCTCGCTTCTGTCTTTCCTTCTTTCACTCTCTTATTCTCTCTCTCTCTCTCTTCTTTCGTTCGTTCCTTCTTTCACTCTCTTATTCTCTCTCTCTCTCTCTCTCTCTCTCTCTCTCTTTCTCTCTTCTTTCGTTTCTTCGTTCACTATCTTATTCTCTCTCTCTCTCTCACTCACTCCCTCTCTCTCTCTCGTGTGTACTTTCGTTTATCCACATACAGCCATACCATGTGAAATCGAACGACAAACTACTTCATACATTGTATAACCCTTCTCCAGCAACGGAAAAAGAAGGAGGAAGCGAGAAAGAAGCAGCGAGAGCGGTCAATGAGTGCCGAAGCTTCGAGCTCCCGCGGTGGCAGCACTGTCGCTGGTCAACCGGAGGAGGGGGAGTTCGACAACCTGATCTCCGTACTGCGAACGGGCGACGTGTTCGGCGACGATCTGATGCTGCAGCTCTCGCAGAAGCGCAGGAAGAGGAGCGGAGCTGGTACCTCCATCCTCAAAGCCTCGGCGCTCTCCTTCAGTGGCAACATGGATCGTGAGCGCACCGTCGTGCTCAATAAGGCACAGAGCTAGAGCTGCGCGCCTTCGCAAGACACGCTACGACGTCGGCACGCGCGCGCAGGCTCAGCTCTTCTCGAGAAGTAAACGTCGGTGTGAATGCCGACTAGCTCTACCCGTGTAGCCCATCTATAGATAGTTTCGCAACAAAACTCTGTCGTGTTACATTCCTGTTATGGAGCGAATCGGGTACACAGGTATAACTACGCGTCCACCCATCTGATGTCGTAGCTAAACCTCGGGTGAGATTGCCGGTGATGAAAGACCGATGATAGACTCAAACTGATGTCGAGTTGTACAGACGATGACACGACCTGGAAAGCAATAATACGCGAGAAACGACAGATTATTTATGGATACGGTGTGTAACTATATAATATACTATAGAATTTTCATATCGGTGAATGATAGGGCGTCGGTGACACCGCAGCATCTATGTATTGTGTTGAGTGTCATTATGCGTGTAGCTAACAATCAAAATACTGTTTTGTCACCAACAACACCCAGTACGCACACTGCTTACTTTCTTTATAATGAACAATAATTTACAATGCAAGAAATTGTAATGGATAATTAAATGCAGTTTGATATGATACCTCGGTAGACAGCTACTATTGAGTAGTCTATTACATGCGTGAATGGGTAGATTGAATGGCAAATACACCATTATCTATCACAGAATATAAACGACTTCGATTTACGGAGGAAAATTATTGCTATTATAAGATTTTCATCTATTTAGGTTATTGATATTTTATTCGATACTAGTCTGAAAGCCGGGATAATTAAATTATAGTCTAATCAGACCATGTCACGTGGTATATACACTCCATACCCATTCTACTTGCACTTGCACTACATATTCCAACTTGCACTTATGGAGAAGTTAGTTCTAAATATAAAATATTTGCTTTTATAAACTTTCTTTTGTCAGCCGTTCATATGTTATGTAATCTAATTTGACTATTTTAGATGCAATTGCAGAAGTATTGTACACAGTAGTAATATTACATGTTGTTAATTGATCATTGGCGGGAACATTGTTTATAGCATTTTCACAGTGAGCCCCAAGTCTTACTCCTGTCGTGAAAATACAACATACCTGACAAGTTGTCACAATAAGTGTATTTGTAAATATGTCTCTTTATATATATATATAAATATATATATATATGTATTATGTACAGCTTCATTAGTAGTAAATTTAATAAATGTGATACCCGAATTTGTCACAGCTAAAGACCCTTACTAGACATGAGTAAAATAATTGTTTCAACCTTTCAATAAACATCAGCCTCTATATTAGAAACAATTATAATACTTACTACAAAATTGCGGGACAATCAGTTTTTGTACTTTGCGTCAACTGCTACACAGTCTATCTATATTCATACTAGTACCCCTGAATGGCTTCCTAAAAATTAGAGAATGTTGGCAGCAATGGCAAAAATTGAACAATTGTTCAAATAGTTTATTGGGTCTCTCATATGCAGAGCCGATTGTATATGTTTTCTTATTACATGTGAATTAAAAAATCTCAATACAGCTTCTCATGTTGAAGTTTTCACTGTGTTTGAATGTTCATTCTATGGTAGAAGTCCTGATGTAATATACAGCCTAAAACAGGTATCAAGATAAGAACATCTGCTGTGATTCCATGGACATATATACACGCACAGGTATTGTACTCCAGACAACAATAAGATTAAAATGTCAATTCTATACAATTACTATTTTAATACCGTTTAGTTAGAATTTACAACATGGCATCAATATCATGTACATATACACTCACTTTTAGTGTAACTTTCATCAGTACAAAAACTTCGTACATGTTGTTTTTCAAGTAATAGTGTCTTGACGTACAATAACTATAGTATCCAGATTCAGATAACTATAGGGTAACGTGCAATTATGCTAAACAATTGACATTCTTTTTTGATTGACTTGCTTTCACATTACCTTTAAAACAAACCGTTGTGTTAATTAGATTTTATAGAACACGGTATGTTCTAATTGTATGCTGGAGTTAGCCAATGTTCCATTTACGGCATGGTGGTGTAAGCCATGTCTATGTACAGGGACACTATATTTTTACTGCAAGCAGCATACACAAGAATATCAGTGGGTTCGATTGTCCATGCTTTTAATCTTTCTTACTTCTTTGTACAAAACACACCGCCTCACTGAAAGTAAAAAAAACGTGTGCAAATATAATACAAACATTAATAGTTAAAACCCCCACAAGCATAAATTTGTGAAGATCTGAAGCTAATGCAATTGTATGTAAGAAAATTGCCGTAAAGCCGACTAGCCTCACTAATTAAAAACATCTAAGCTTGGTACAAAAACCTCAAGAACATTTCTCAATGAGCTACAAGTACAAAAAGAAGTTGATGACTTTTAAACTCCTTAATCTTCAACTTCAGCTGGACCTGATAATACCAAAGTATACAACTCTGATAGCCAACAAGTTTAGGTAGATCTGTGCTCTACTAAGCAGAATGTGAAAAGACATGCTAATGCACACTACAGGGGCGTGTACAGAATTTGTACCAGGGGGGGGGGTCTAACCATAACCCCAACTTGTGAGCACGCGAAGGGGGGTCAGGGGGCCCTCCCCCAGAAATTTTTTGAAATTAGACCCCCTTAGATGCGTTTTCTGCGCGAGCAGGGGGGGGGGTCCGGACCCCCTGGACCCCCCCCCCCTGCACTATACTCACCATGAGGGTCATACATGAGCTGCATCAGCTTCTCATCTAACCGCTGTCTCACCCAGGTGTACACGTGTCCTGTTCCTGCCATGCTCCTCAGCACAACCAGCACAAACCTGCCACCAACATCAGCACATGTAAAGTTCAATCACTGCATAACATCTAACGGAAATGATAGATTATAATACGAAATGCGGTGTGATTTAAGGCTTGGCCCATTTTAAAAGCACTTACTTTTTTCCTGGCTTAGCCATGTTGTCTCCTTTTTGGAATAAATCTTCTGCTTAGTTACTCTAGTGTTTCTGCAACAAAATTATAACAGAATGTAATGTACAGGGACACAGGCACACAGAAATGTATTGTCATTTTACGTATTTATGTTCACGTTCATTGTATTTATGTAAGCAACTTATAGCTTAATACAGTTAGGATTACACCTTACTTATAACGTCCAGAAATAATATGTAGAATGAATAGTAACGGTTGGCAGCTTTAGAAAGAATAGCACTGTACAGATAGATCTTTCCACATGACTGATGACATGTCATCTCACAATATATAGCTGCCCACCTATTTATGAGTTTTGCGAGCATCTGTGAGCTGTGAGTGATGATGCCAACCTCTCAGCCCTTTCCTCACATGGCTCCAATATTTGCAATCTTACGGCTTTTCCCAGTTTGAAGCATGCAGCGTTGCTTGACACGTTCCCAGTTTTTATAACATACATAACACCACATTCAAAACATAACAATGCATGCACACATAAGTGCCATAATGTCAATACCTAATACCGCACATTCTCCTAACCAAGTCGACATGAAATCAAATCTGAGGCATGCCATTTTTATTGTCTGTATCTTCCAGCGCACATTCTCCCCACCAAGTCGACGGGAAATCAATTCTGCGGCATGTCATTTTTATTGTCCGTACATCACTATCTTCCAGTGCACATTCTCCTAACCAAGTCGACGTGAAATCAAATCTGATTTGTCCGTACATCACTATCTTCCAGTGCACATTCTCCTAACCAAGTCGACGTGAAATCAAATCTGAGGCATGTCATTTTTATTGTCTGTATCTTCCAGCGCACATTCTCCCAACCAAGTCGACGGGAAATCAATTCTGTCGCATGTCATTTTCATTGTCCGTATCTTCCAGCGTCACTTCAGTTTCCCGCCGCGCGTCTTGGCGAGGATCGCGTAAATGTCGAGTGCCTCGCCAGGGGGCACTCCGTAGCCCTTGTGCAGGCCGTGCGGGTTCGACGGCGTTACGCAGTCCATGCCGACCTCCTTACGCAGCACCGTGTCGACGTCTACGCTGCTGAAGAAGGCGACGGACTGCGGCAGGTCGTGCATGCCGAGGCTGCACGCGAACATGGCGCGGGTCAGCAGGTTGGCGACCTGCAGCGCGAGCGCCGCGCGGTACCGGTCCGCGCTGCTCACCAGGTAGCGCACCTCGTCGTGGATGCTGATGCAGAAGCGCGCGTCGATGCCGTGCTCGTCCAGCAGGTGGCGCACGCAGACGAGCGTCAGGTGGAGGTAGTCGACGGCCGAGCTCTGCACGACCCAGTTCACGCGGCTCGTCATGAAGTCCCGCTCCACCGCGCGCGGCTCCAGCGCGCGGCTGATCCTGCCGCCGAGCACGGGCGTGCACGGCAGCGCCCCCTGCGCGATCTCCTCCAGCTTGTTGAACATCTCCGACTCGCTGCCGTGCTGCCAGCGGGCGGGGCCGTGCGGTGCGGCGGCGCGCGTGCCCTTCGTGACGGCGTACATGCGCTCGGCCGTCTCGCGCGCCTCCGCCGCCGTCAGCTTGTGGTTGAACTGCATGAGCAGGCGCTGCGCGAACGGCCTGCCTGCGCCGTAGATGCGTCCGTAGTTGAGCACCTTGGCCTGGTCGCGCGTGACGCCAGCCGCCGCCGCCGTCTTGCTGTGCAGGTCCGTTCCCTCGGACTTCCTGCCCTGCAGCGTCATCCAGCCGAACGCCGTGCAGCCGTGCAGGCCGGCGAAGTTCGCGTCACCGAGGATCGCTGCGATCCACAGCTCCTGCGAATCGACGTCGGCGCCGACAAAGTGGTAGCCAGGGGGCGCTTGCACCATCGATTTCAGCTCGCTGCCAACTCTGTCGGGATACGCATTGCTCGCCGTCAGCCAGGTCGCCTCGACGGCTCGCCGCGTGAGCGTTCCCGCGGTGACGACCTTGGGCACGATGGCGCCGTACAGTCCCATCTCGTCGTACGCCGGCGCCCGGGTGACGACCCGAGGAAGCTCGGACTTCTTCAGCCAGACTGGGTTCTGCGTCGTGATGCGCTTGTGCGCGTTCTTCCAGTAGGAAGTCATCTTGCTCAGGTAGAGCGCCTTGTTGGCTTTCGTGCCCGACTGCGCCCGAAGGCTGCCGTCCTCGATCCACTTTAGAAAATCCTTCGCTAGCGGATTGCCGACGCGCAGCGATTCTCCGTCCTTGTGAGGGAGCTTGAAGAACCAGAATCCGGGTACGTCGACGTCAGCGTTGTACGGCCCGTTGCCCTTGTGCGACGACGGAGCCCCGCCCGTCTCCTCCAGCTTCCGTCGCTTTTTCGCGATCCTCTCCATCTTGCGGAACGCCTGCCACATCTTGGAGAGTGCGCTCGTGTCGTCGCTCAATGCCTCGATCTGTTCCAGCAGCTTATTGAGGACGTCGTTGCCGTCGTCGGCGACTGCAAACTGCTTCTGCGGATTGATGGACGATAGCTGCGCCATGGCACTCTCGGCCAGCCGGACGGCTTCGTCGCTGGCGTGCAGCAGATTGTCGGTGCGTCCTGGAACTAGATAGCCCCAGCCGTGGACGTCACTGTAGTAGACGGGGTAGCTGTCCCACGTTAGACGCAACAGCTTTGGGGCAACGCGCACCTGCGAACTGATGAGAGATGGACCGGGCATCCAATCTTCTCCCACGTTCTTGTTATTCCTCGGACAGAGGTCTCTGTACCAGGCAGGGTAACCGGCTAGATGCGATTTTACTACAGGAAGTCTAGATGCTGTTTTGATCACTGGTTCTACTCTTTGTCTCAATGCATCCCATTCCTCCTTATCGTCATCGACAATATCTTCAGGATTGGTTGCGGAACCAGCATTCTCCATCTCTTTCTCACACTCCGCCTGTGATGCTTCAGTTTCTTCTTTATCAAGCACTGATTGGCTCTTTTTCGTCTTCTTTAAAGTTTTCGTCTGCGATTTATTCAACCTGAGATCTTTAACCGTCCAGTCTAGATCCCACAGCCAGAGGTCGGACTTGTAACGCTCGTGGTTCGTAAGCTCGCAAGCATCGTCGGCGAGATGCATCAGCGACAGCTTCTGCTCCTTCTGCAGGTCATGGTACGTCGCATCGGAATCAGCGACGTAGCGCTCCCAGTTCTTGTTGACGGGCAGGTACGCCTGCCCCATCTCCAGCATGCCGGCGAACGTGACCGGGTGCGGAAACCGCTCGAGGAACATTGGCAGCAGCCGCTGCAGCAGCTCGTGCGTGATCAGCACGTCGTTCGAGCAGTACGTCATCAGGTTCTGAAAGTCAGCGCGCACGTCGTCCAGCGTTCCCTTGACAAACACGTTGCGCGTCTCCTTACTGTGTGGCTCCTTGCCGCAGTATAGTCGATAAACGTCTGCGAGGCCATTCATCGAACCCACTTTCATCCAGTTCAAATTCGGAGGTCCTCTCATCTTCAACTTGCGCTCGCGCACCTCCTTCGGCTGGTTGCCCGTTCGCAGTGACATCAACATTGTGCGCTGGAAGCTTGTGAGACCCGAGCAGGCGATGTGAAACGACATAGTGTCGACAAAGCGCATCTTCGTGCTGCCGATCAGATACTGCTCCTTGACTCGCGCGCGGTCGTAGCTCACGTTGTGCCCGACGACCACCCGCTGCCTCCAGTCGCCATCGGGCTTCACCCTGCCGGGCCTCGTCTCGAGCGCGATCAGGTCGGAGATGGAGGGATGCTGAGCCCACTGCAGGCTCTGCCCCGTGAGTCGCTCGCTGCACCACGAGTACCACCCGGTTGGGGAGGCTGCCGTCGCCAGCGTCGGGAAGATGCTGCCGGCACCGCACACCTCGATGTCGAACACAAGGCCATCATCCTCCGGGTAGTCGATGGCCGTTGCGCTGCCGTCCGGCTTGTAGGCCGTCCAGCCGGCGCGGAACGCCCACTCGGCGGGGGGAGGAGGGAGCGGGGCTGCGACAAGATCCTCACACGCTCTCAGGTATGGTTCGCTCTGCCTGCGCGCCACATTAGAGACGTGCTCGGCTATGTCCTTGCCGCACAGCTTCGGCAGCTTGAAGTCGACTTCTGGTAGGATGGTCGTGTCACGGCCCCAGAGGTCGTGTGACTTGAGGTGATCAATGCTTTTCCTCACCATGCTCTCCTCAACGCTCTTCTGGTCCGATGTGCCGAACACCTGTCGATGCAGACCTTCAGAGAGCATCTGTATCTTGATAGGATTTAGACGTGGACTTTTACTCTTAGCTGAAGTGTTAGAATCTGCTGTCTTAGACATTGCCCTGGCGGACATCCTGATGAGGGTTGGACACAGGAACGACCTTCCCGTGATTAGGCATTCAGCCTTATGGCATTGCAACGTCGCCATTTTGATAATCACATCAATAACAGGACAATGGGATGCATACATACATACATCTATAACTTCAGCTGGCTCTTTATTTGGCACGCTCCTATTTGGTTGGTATATGTACGTACATTGATGCTTCTGAAAAGTCAATGAAAATGTTAGTTTATATTAAGTTTTGTATTTATCAATGCAGCATGGAATTTTTTTAAACAACTTTACAGAATAAAAATATTTTTGTGTTAGCGTGCATACGACTGATTGCTCGTAAGCATGCACACAGGATGTGTTTATATACGTGCATCTGATATGTGTTTGTGTCCGCCGGTTCAGTCATAGCTAGTAATTTAGTTTTGTAGCTTCCAGTCGAATTTGGCCGTAGCCGTAGTTGGTTAAAAACTGTGGCTACTTTTACTATGATACTTTTACAAAGCCAACACCGTTTTTGCATGGAGTTGCCCTGGGTGATTCACACACTGTATGATGTGATCTTGGGGACTACGTACTTCCAATGTGGTTTTATCCTGAACACGAATCTTTTCTCTCAATCCCGAGAATTACGCATTACCACAATATCGGCTCTGAAGCGTCTATACACTTTTTCAAAAAATCGATGTGAAGAACGGCAAATTATCCAACCGCTCTCTATTCAGGGCGCAAAATTAGCACCGGCCCACTGGCATATGCTGGCAAATTATTTGGAGGGCCGGTAACATTGCCAAAACACCAGCCCTCCGAGCCGGTGGTTTCAGCCTGTTAGTGAGTACCTACAATTTTTATTTATATAGCATTAAATGAGCAAATAGTGTTTTACCTGAACGGAAGGATATCACACCATATTTTATCAACATTTTACAAATTTGAAATCCAAAATGCAAGCGTGAAACATTACATCAATTTTACAAACAAACAGGGCTCTCAAGGGGTAGCTTTAAAAATGAGTGAGATTTATTTTGAATCAGAAAATCTAAGGCTGAAGGCCTTAGCCTTTGCGTTGCAGGCGCGAAGGGAGGGTGAGTGGAGGTAAGATTTTTTTTTTTAAATGGGGTGCTATTTGATGCCCCCAGCAGCAGTCAGATTATCAAAATCAGTCGCTGGGTGCGCCACAAGTATTAAATGTCGAGATTCCCGTGCCTCGTGTCCTGCGTTTTTTGGCAAAGTTCGGCTAGACCCACTCCACACAACGAAGAAAAACTGGATTCTTGCAATTGCGTGAGATTCTCGGGGACTATCAGAAATGTGTGTGAGAGCGTGAGATTATGCTGAATTGCGTGAGTCTCACGCCAAATGCGTGAGGCTTGTGAGCCATAAAACAAAATCTGAATTTTGTGCCCTGGCTATTTCTGTTGACCTATGACGCAAGCTTTCCCAATGCGCATAGGGCTCGACAAACTTCGAGAGCGAATGCATCTGAAGCCTGATGCCTGAGAAAAGCTCATCGTGGAGATGTGCACGTGGCGCGTCGTTCACCGACTAATCGGAGGGCTCGCAGCGCACTAAAGCTGATGCGATGTGCATAGCTATCTAGCTTTAATAGTGGTGCAATAAGATTTATTATACATTATTTATATTTTTACTTATTTGTTGGAACTGCCAGTGGCAGTGCTACTGGCACTACTGGCTGCCTACTGGCTGCTTAGGCCACAAGCACTTGAAACGTCTCTATAAAAAAAGTCAATAAACACGAAATGTATTTACTACCAGTCTTAATATTTCTCTACTCTATCATGTCGCCTATTATTGCTGATAATTACCCGTAAATGCCGGTCAAATGCTCATCTGCAACACCCAAGTACACCGCACGCCCGCCCTGTGCACAAACAACATGAATAAGAGAGCAGGTAGGAAAGCGTGATCGCAAAATTCGCTCAATGCTCGCTTCATTTCACACCTTCACAGCACGAATACACATCCAACAGCTTTATCTTGGTATCTATGTGTAGCTAAATGTTTACTTGTTCGAATTATAACTCTGTCCTTTGTCCTTACCTACTCCCTCCAGAGATATCTCGTGAAATCCTGCAGGAAATGTTCTCTCCGTGAAAATGTAAAGAGGATGTAAAGAGGACGTATCGTCCAAAAATCCCTAACGGCGCTACTTTCGATCGATCACTGTAGTCGTGTGTGTGTGGCGTCATGCCCACGCGCATTATGCTTGGCTTGGCAGGCCTCGAAACGGAGGCTCGGAGCCAGGCAGCAGCTCATCCTGGCATGCAATGCGCCGCCATTACTCGTGTATAAACAGACAGCTCGCCCTCTTTACATTTTCACGAAGAGAACATTTCCTGCAGGATTTCACGAGATATCTCTGGCGGGAGTAGGTAAGGACAAAGGACAGAGTTATAATTCGAACAAGTAAACATTTAGCTACACATAGATACCAAGATAGAAGCTGTTGGATGTGTATTCGTGCTGTGAAGGTGTGAAATAAAGCGAGCGTCGAGCGAATTTCGCGATCACGGTTTCCTACTAGACCGAATAATTCTGTCCCATATAACCTTTTTTTATATTTTGGTGAGGGTTATATTGGGAGAGAACGGGGTTCATTGAAATTTCGTGAGATCGCATGCAAAATGCATGCGCTGAGAATGCGGCCCGTACGCCGCTATTGGCGCGAAAAAAAACCTACCGTTCCCTTCTACATGGCTTTACCTTGCTACTGATATGTGTATACATTCACTTCAATCGATATTCACTTCTTAAAAGATTGTTTTTCCTAAACACCGCTTCGTTCAACTTTCCTAAATTACATCGCCATTTACAAACAATCAGACCAATCAGAGCGAGTCTTACAATAGCCCCTGGTTCTCGCTTGTATCTGTGGCGCTGCAGGAGGCCTGATAGACTCGCTGTGATTGGTCTGATTGTTTGTAAATGGCGATGTAATTTAGGAAAGTTGAACGAAGCGGTGCTTATGAAAAGCAATCTTTTAAGAAGTGAATAACGATTGAAGTGAATGTATACACATATCAGTAGCAAGGTAAAGCCATGTAGAAGGGAACGGTAGGTTTTTTTTCGCGCCAATAGCATCGTACGGGCCGCATTCTCAGCGCATGCATTTTGCATGCGATCTCACGAAATTTCAATGAACCCCGTTCTGTCCCAATATAACCCTCACCAAGATATAAAAAAGGTTATATGGGACAGAATTATTCGGTCTAGGTTTCCTACCTGCTCTCTTATTCATTGTTGTTTGTCACTTTGTGCACAGGGCGGGCGTGCGGTGACAGTTGTGTGTTGCAGATGAGCATATGACCGGGAATAATAGGCGACATAGAGTAGAGAAACATTAAGACTTTGGTAGTTAATACATTTCGTGTTTATTTACCACTATTTTTTTTATTGAGCCGTTCCAAGTGCCTGAGGCTGAGGCCGAGACTGTGCCGTGGCTCTCACTTCACTTGTACGGTGCAACTTAGAGTGCAACATGGCTGCCATACAACCACCTCACACTGAAGCCTAAACACTTTCCTCAACATGCTACAATACGATTACTAGCATAGCATGATTTCAAAAATTATTCTGCTCACCTTTCAGTTTCAAGATTCAAGCACATGCCTTCATTTTTACTGATTTCGCACATGGGACTCTCGGTAACTGTATACGGCGTCAACGTCAATTCATTTTGTTAAAAGGCAGTACATAGAGTTAATCCGGTACCAGTCTAAATTTACGCAAAGATGGCACTGCTGATAATGCAGTCGGCAATGTTCGGCAATGTTCGTGAGAACGATGTGCCAATCGAGTATTCGCCAAGTACAAGTTTACGATTTTTCGGTTGTGCCACGTTAGCCTATCTCGTACAGGCGTTTACGCTTATTAATCTGAGGAAGTGGTTATCTAAACTGTATTTTAGTAGTTAATCTGTATTTATGTAGTTCTTAATTACATATCCGCATAAGATATGGATTTATTATATTACGTGTTACTTGCTGTAGTTTTTCTTGCAACATTTGCTGATGGCATTATGTTTAATTTGCCTCCTAACACACTGAAGTGTTTGCGTGAGGAAATTCACAAAGATGTACTTGTATCTGGTGAATATGAAGTTTCTGAAGCACCAGGACAACATACGAATCTACATGTACGTATATTACTAGCGCTAGCGGTGATTAACCTGTTTCTACTATTAGTCTCCTGGATGCGGTTACAATTCTCCGTCATTGTCAATCACGGGCAGTCAATTTTAGCAAGCAACTACGTACCTACTTGTTTTTGCTGTGACGTGTTACTGTTAGTGTCACTGTTAGTGTTACCGTTAGTGTTAGTGTTGCTCATAGGGTCTATGTTCCCCAGGGTACTGCCGGAACGTACCCTGGTCACTATTTGATATGGTTAGGGTTAGGATTAGGGTTAGGGAGTAGGCGTAGGCGACTCCCTAGACTCGTTAGTGGAGTAGGCGAGGTACGGTCCGGCATATAATATATAGTACCAGGGACAGGGTACGTTCCGGTATACCGGACCGTACCCAGTGTACGTTCCGGTATACCGGACCGTACCCAGTGTACGTTCCGGCAGTACCCCGGGGGACATAGACCCTCTCAGCGTTAGTGTTAGTGACAGCGTTACTATTTACGATCAAGAAAACATTCAAGTACGTAGATAAAAGGTGTTTCCTTATCCTGTACAAGACGTTCATCAGACCCCACCTAGAGTACTGTGTACAAGCCTGGTCACCCTACTATAGCTGAGAGGGTCTATGTCCCCCAGGGTACTGCCGGAACGTACCCTGGGTACGGTCCGGTATACTGGAACGTACTCTGGTACTATCTAATATGTCGGACCGTACCTCGCCTACTCCACTAACGAGTCTAGGGAGTCACCTACTCCCTAACCCTAACCCTAACCCTAAACCTAACCCTAACCCTAACCCTAACCCTAAGTCCCTAACCATATCAAATAGTTACCAGGGTACGTTCCGGCAGTACCCTGGGTTACATAGATCCTATGAGCCCTACTGTAAGAAAGATATGGACCTGTTAGAAAAAGTGCAAAGGAGGGCAACCAAGCTAGTCCACTCTATACATAACCTGGAATACGAGAGGAGACTGGAAATCCTAGGTCTATATTCACTGGAACAGAGGAGAGTGAGGGGAGACATGATCAAAACTTAAAAAATTTTAACAGACAAAGAAAACATTAATATGAACCAATCTTTCACACCGGCAACCGGAACCACCAGGGGTAATCTCCTGAAACTATTCAAAAATAGATCCAGGCTGCAATTGCGACAGCACTTCTTCAGCCAAACAGTGGTGAATGCATGGAACGCACTGCCAACATTTGTTGTCGAGTTTTAAGGTCATTATTCATGAATGTTTTTTTAACCAGATAAATGGAACCTTTGTTAAACAAGATATTTTCTGAAAAACAAACTTAAATGGACGTTATAAAACAATCCTAAAGATTAAAAGCAAAATAACAATTCACAGCTTTTTAGAGGATTCAGAAAATATCAAGCTTACAAACATTTTTAGCACTAAACTTACATGTATTTCACTTTTGTGTGTATTGCACAGAGTGGGCTATGTACAGACAATTACGTGAGGCAGAAGTAGGCATGCATGTGTGACTGGAAATGTGTTCACTGCATAACTTGCACTACCCGTTAATCAGACATTTTCGTTGTTCCCAACTTGTCCCAATAAGGCAGGGCCCACTGTATAATGAGCATTATGCCCATACTACTTAGTAACCGATTGGCGATAATGTGCAATTATCTGATTCATTTAATATTTATTTTAATAGCATTATTCTATGTATGTACACACTCAACATGTTTCTAGGGGGGAGGGGGGGTAATAATCACGCAATAAGGTCAAAGTGAGATGTTGGTTGTGTCAAGCTTGCCCATGCTCCATATCTGCACCATGTCGTTGTCTCTTTCTGCTGGTTTGTGTAAATTGCAGCAGTAGTTAATTATTAAAATACACTATGTAGTTAACACAACCAGTTTCATCACATTATTGACATAATTCTTAAACTTTATACTGTTTTTAGGTAGCTGATTCCAGAGGTCACACGCTCTATCATAAAGATGATGCCACACAGGGAAAGTTTGCCTTCACAACGGATGATTATGAAGTCTACGAAGTTTGCTTTGAAACCAAACTAGCAGCTGGTAATTAACTTAGCTGGTACATTTTGTAGTAATGAGAATAAGCTCGCAGAAACAACGTTGCAAAGGCTCTAATAGTTTATTTTTGCACCATAATCACCTATACAGGAATGTAGTCCAGGAAGTGTTTTGCAATCGAGTACTTTGTGTTAGCTGCTGGTGATTAGTGGTAATTAATTACTAGTAAGCAAACCCTACATAAAATAATTACATGTGGTCATGTATTTATATGAAATTAGTTTCGTTTTCAGTAGGGGTGACCCTGAGACATTTAAACGTGGTCCCCCCCAACCCAGTTATATGAAAATTGTGTTGTATGGCTGCCTCTAAGTTGTAGGTTTTTTATGTATCCAGAATATTGTGAGAATCTTTAGTATTTTCGGGTTTTATTTAATGTTAATCTAATTAGTAATTGTGTTCTCAGTATTTCACTGTATTGTGTATCAACCTACCACTAAATGTAGGGAGGTGGTTCAGTCCGGTAGCACTAAGTTGACATGCTTACTGGTGTCGTGTTTGAGAGTTCATTGCATGTCTAGGTCAGCAAGGTCCTGCACGGGAGATTACACTCAATGTCAAGCATGGAGTAGAAGCCAGAAACTATGAAAATGTAAGCTTTTATTTATTGTCTGCCTATTAGAGTTCTATATCTAAAATTGTTATGTTTTGGCTAGGATATATAATAATGCTATTCACAGTAATCTGATCATAGTAATTTGTGCTCGGTATGTCATAATTGTGTTTTGAACATACTCATTTATCAGGTATGGTATATTAGCTAGATATATACATAATACTAATTACTCTCAAAGTCAAATTAAATATAAAAAACTTGCCATTGCTTACTTTTGATTTAAATGCACAGTTAAGTATATATAAGATGAATGAAACAGTGTTTCTTATACAGTGCCAGATTACCACATTGTACGTATTATGTATACACAATACATGAAGTTATTCAAGTTATACACTCCGTTGATCATATCTCCCTGCATTATATTAATCGTGATGTGGAAATCCAATGATTGCGGTATCAATAGATTTTTTACGAATATATGCTCGTGCTTCTTATCAATGGTTTCTATACATCTGGCCTTTGATCTAGATCAAGCAAAGATTGACATGGAAAGGTGGAAACTATTAAATTTGATTAATCAATTTTACAGGTAGCAAAGGCAGAGAAATTAAAGCCATTAGAAGTTGAACTGAAGCGACTGGAAGATCTTTCAGAAGATATCGTTAATTCATTTGCCTACATGAGAAAGAGAGAAGAAGAGATGAGAAATACTAATGGTAAATGACGTTTTACTTTAGTTTCCATGTTTTTCATAATTTTTAGTGCTGTTTGGATACCATTACTTAACGTCACATCCCTATTATTAACGACATCTATTTTACATGGTTTCCCGATCAAAAATAGTACTTCTGTCTGTCTGGGTACTGGCATGCGTGTATTATTTCAGAAATGTTATGATGATCTGACGAACACGATTATCTTACACACATTGATATGTTCTGTTTTGCTCTGACTTTGCAGAATCTACAAACTCGAGAGTGCTGTACTTTAGCATCTTCTCCATGTGCTGCCTGCTAGCGCTAGCCACATGGCAGGTGTTCTACCTCAGGCGCTACTTCAAGGCCAAGAAGCTGATTGAGTAGAGAATTGAAGAAGCAGCACAGCAGGACACCCAACACTCGCTGGTTTCTCGCTGCATATCTCACTTCGGCATACACACCTAATGCACTCTTGGGATAATAGAGTTTGGAATTATTGGGAAAGAGAAGGGGTGGAGGTTACTCCTGTTCTGTTGGCTTTCCAATATACTGCCTTGTGGAGATATGCCAAAGGTTGCACCCCATTTGGTTGTTTCTGTAACAGTTTAATCTTTCATTTTTATCGTAGAGAAGGATCTGATAAAGGCTCAGAAACTACACAGAATGTGGTGCACATGTCAAGTAGAATTTGTCGAGGTGACTAAACTTTAAGGTGCATTGACAAATGTAGCAGCTGGGGGTGGATGGGCTAAGTCTACATTTCTCCTGTTATTTAGCGCACTGCATAAATTTTCGGAACTGATATTGTATTTTTTTTTGAAGAACCTGTTGTAATTACACAGTAGCTTTCTTGGAAAAAATAAGTTCATCTGGTTACCATTTATGTCTGTGTATGTGTGCGTGTGTGCGCGCAATGTGTGCGAGTGCATGTGCGTGTGCGCACTTACACATGCATTGGATGTGTACGTGTGCGCCTATCCTCGGAATATTGACATATTTACACAACTTTTATGGATATCTGTAGTTTCATCTGCATCTTTACTGTAATAACTCATTGTAACGAATCATTGTAACAGGGCTGCCAACATTGGGTGATAGGTGAGAGTGAGATGCAAGGGAGCGAAGCGACCGAGCGGGGGTGGGCGTGGGAGGGGGGTAGGGAGCTTTTGCATTTTATAACTTCAATTTGTGCAATTTGGTGCATACTAAAGTGACTGTTTTCAGATATTGTAAGATTTTTTTTGCTGTGCGTGAGATATTTCAGTGTTTTATTCATGAAGAGATATTCATGCGTGAGATATCTCAGCATTTTTTTGCTGAGCGTGAGATTTGGTCAAAATGCGTAAGTCTCACGGTCAATGCGTGAGAATTGGCAGCCCTGTTGTAACAGTACGTTTATCATAACCTGTCTAACATTATTACATAGATCATTCATAACTCATCATCCTTCTGAACACTGATTGCCTACCATCTGTTCAAGATTTGCTTAGAATAAAAAATAACATATATTGTACATCAGGACATTGGCTACACAATGCATGTTCAGAATTGACACAATGGCCTGCACATAACGGGTCTCCAGTATTTTTTCCCATCGATCATATAAAGTGTAGTAAAGACAGCATGGTGAATACCTGTGGAATGTCTTAGGTAAGCTGAGTGTAATTTAAAAGGTTGCGAGGTGGTGTTAGAGTGATCATAATCGTTGTGCATAAATGTTGCTTTTAATGCATGTTCACCGCCAATTCAATGGCAGCATGTTTTGTTGATTGTCCTAGGAAGTCATTCATTTGTGGGGGATGTTATACCTATCTCCGTTAAACACACACTGTCCGTGCATTATGTTTATGAATAATTGTCCATGATTCCGAACCATGAATTTTATACACTAGTTAATATGCTTGTGTAGAGGAATTCTGAAAGTAGCATATGCAGAAGCTACTGTTGATAGTTGTTTTTGGGTTGCTAGGCTGGCCATATCTTCCTCTATTAGCTACACGCATGAAAAAAATGGTGTATTCTTACATTTTGCTGAATTTTTTGTACAATATTGCTATGGATAGGTGGTTTGTCTTGTGCTTTAATGTGATTTTCGTAACTGTTCATGGAGATAAAAAGCATGTCTGTGGGTTAGCTAGAAAATATTATCCAGACGTGTAGTTTGCAAGTTGCCATAGCTGGTGCAGTGTTTCATCAAATTTAACTGAAATCTAAATAGAACTGATCGCTGCCAGGGTCTATGTCTCCCTGGGTACTGCCGGCACGTACCCTGGTACTATCTAATATGCCGGACCGGACCTCGCCTACTCCATTAACGAGTCTAGGGAGTCGCCTACGCCTACTCTCTAACCCTAACCTTAACCATATCAGATAGTTACCAGGGTACGCTCCGGCAGTACCCAGGGAGACATAGACCCTATCAGCCGCAGTTACTGTTACTGTAAATAAATTATTAGTAACAGCTATCAACATTCTGGATTCACGTAGACTACTTCGCATAACAATCTGAATAGGGCTATACTCTAATATCTACCTGAAAAATATGGCGCTAGGTAACAAGGAACGCTGGGAAAACCATTTTCCATGAACTTGTTAACTGAAAGGCAAAGTATTGCTTGGGAATTTTTGTGGTCAGTGCTTTTACTTGTTGTTAGTAGCGGTTTTAAATGCCGTGAATGCTTAAACGTTTTACGAGGACATAGTTTCCTACAACACCTAGATGCACACTGTTACAGAATAAACACATTTATTTTTAAGGAAAAGGTAAAATAGTATGAATAAAGCCGTTACCACATTGTCTAAGCGAATCTAATGGTAACAATGTCAGGTGAATTTTCGGTACTTTGTCACATAGGTAGCTAATAATCTGTCACTGACACTGCCACTGTCATAGGGTGCAAGTCTTGCCGCCATGTGGCAATATGATATACGTGTACAAATAGTTAGGAGGCCATTTCTATTCATCAAATGTATGCCACATGATATTAGTCAACATTTCAAACTGCAATAAGAATTGCAAATCCTACGTTTTCATAGCTGTTTATTGTTATAAGGTTTATTGTGGTGAAAGCTTTCGTTTATTTGGCAGGAGAATGGTGTTCCAGTTACAGTGGTGTCAGTTAGTTGCAGGTTTTCACATTACAGTTTGTATAAAAAAATTTATATGGATTAAAGTAATGAAAGAATGTTTTGTTATAGTTATTTTTGTTGTTGTATGTTGCCATGCAAATGTTTTTTTGCTGTTAAAAATCTGGGTCCAAATGAAGGCAAGCCATATTAAGCAAATATGAAAAATGAAGTTTTAAAATAATTTATTATATAAATTTCTTAATCATACATAGAAACCAAATTCAATGTATCATATACTGTTGATCAACACTTTTACAAATATTAATGCTTATCAACCTTAGATCCCCCCCCCCTTCTAGCAAAGCCAATTCACATGATTGTGGTATAAATGAGCTGTGAGATTATTCAAAGTAATGGTTATACTGTCCTATACTGTTACAATTGCATAATACGTAATAGCACAAGCCTATGTATCCTAGACTAGTGGTGCATAGTTCAAATCGGAAAAATGCATTGTAATTAAAGTTGCTGCTTGACGCCTCATTATCATAATAAACCGAAAAGAATGGCAGCAAAGTGTGAATGAAGGCGCATAAGTAACATTCACTATCTGGTATTATGTTCTATAAAATAAACTGGTTGCCATGCAAACAATTATGCAAGTTCCACCTGCAATTGTGCATGTAAAGTAGTGATTTTATTATCTATGAATAATGATTTTTATTCTTTGTCACCTTTAAATATGTCGTAACGATAAATATAAAATATGCTGCCATAGGTTTAATTCACAATAAATACCAGCGTGCACCATACCAATTAAACCTGCATTTGAACCTGCACACGCACGCACTCGCATACGCTGAGAGGGTCTATGTCCCCCAGGGTACTGCCGGAACGTACCCTGGTACTATCTAATATGCCGGACCGTACCTCGCCTACTCCACTAACGAGTCTAGGGAGTCGCCTACGCCAACCATATCAGATAGTTACCAGGGTACGTTGCGGTATACCGGACCGTACCCAGGGTACGTTCCGGCAGTACCCTGGGGGACATAGACCCTATGAGCCTCACATACATTGATTAACATTCAGTTGCCTTCGCTCACCCATTCTATAATTCATTTAAACCCTGTAATGAGTATTTAATCGCCACCGACTCACCTAAGTCATCATGGACTTTGTTAAACATTTAATTTTCCTGTAAAGCTACACACCAAAGTTTTACTCTGGCAATTTTGCAAGCAACAGGAAAACAGAGAACACATATATAGCTGCCTTCATCCCTAAAACGTATACGCATGTTATTAAACAGCATCGATATAACATAGTTAATATACTTGTGTACAAAAAACGACGTTAACTAGGGTATGTGGTTTATGGTAGAGGGTGCGGTGCCTCTGCTGAACGCACATCACTCACATCCTACATCTTCTTCTTCTTCTTCTTCTTCTTCTCGGTTCTTTTATTTTACACTGGACTCAAGGGTTTAAATCCACATCAGTAGAACCCACTCCAGGAATCTGGCTCGGTCCAGTTAGATTCTTGGAGTGGGTTCTACTGATGTGAACTATAGTACATGCATAACAATATTTACAAAATGCATGGCTTACTCATGTGTTATGTTCCCACGTTGTTATAAAACACAACACAGTTGCTATGACGTATAGTAGTAGGGGAAAAGACATTTAAACATACAACATTTACAATGTTGATGATCATATCAAGGAAATTCTGTTAATCACAACTTGAAGTGCTACATGCACGCACACATAACAAACATATTCACTCGTACTTTACCTACCAGAGATAATTATAAGGAGGCAAGCATCCAAATCGATTGTCCGCTACATTTAGGAACAATGCTGTCCTCCACCCTTGTCATATTTACTCAATAACAGCTATACACATAATAATAAAAGCTATCTGCAACTACATGATCTTATTACAAAACTTCAAGATTCTTTTTAAATGACTAAAAACACATTTTCTAATATAGTGTGAACTGGCCAGCATTGCTCTCATAACCGCGCAACCTTCACGCACATTACACAACCGTCTATATCTTGAGAGACACACATTATAGCTATTACAAAATACCTGTATTTTTTCTCTTAAATATACTACAATGGATCAAACTCTCAACATGAAAATTTTCCAACATGGTACAAAAGATTCATCTCAAAATCATGATAACATTAAACGCAATGCATACTTGTAACGTTACTCACATAAAGAATATCTGTGTGTGCCTGGATTCTTTAAGAGACTTCAGACCTTTGTCTCGATGTCCTGTGTTAAGGGCTGCTGCTGCTTCTGTCGCTGCAGCAGTCGCTGCTCCATCTCTCGCAGCAGGGCAAGGCGGTAAGCTTCATACGCCATCACAATCTGCTCTACCTCCTGTCTGTACAGGCGTCGCAGCATGGCCTCATAACCTTCCAGTTCTTGCAGGCGAAACAGTTCCCACTGCATCAACGTGTAAGAGAATCACATGTACTGCATAATAACGCAATTAATAAGTATGCGTGGAGACCTTATGTCATAGGGTAGTAATGCATATATGTCATTATGAAGTTTTCATGCAAACAACTACAAAATGGTCATTTCACACAAGTAACTGTACCTAAAATTACGACCAATAGACCTAGAATATGTCAAACTAACTTGTCTTACGAGCTTGCCGTTAGCAGATTTACGTTGTAGTGGTTTTTTTCATATTTGGTTTATTTGCTAAACTGTTCTATGATAGGTTAAGGTTGTAAGCATGTAGTTCCAGAATTTTAACTTGAAACCTTCAAGGTTTGCATAAAATCAGAAGTAGATGATAGGAAGGAGTGTGACTTCAATAAACAAAGGAAATTCGTCATTTACTAGCCTTAGAATACCTACGATTTACTACGCATAACTCAACCAACTTGAGCTCAAATCGTACACAGTACATTCGCCTAGCATCGTGCAAAATCGTTTCCTCGTATACACCCGCAATCCGGAAATACAGACTAAAACGTACGACACGATTCTCCATTCTGTTGGCAGCAGATCGACTCCATAACCCGCCTAACTTGAAACAATAGGCAGCTACTAATGACTCTTGCGCACTCTTGCGCCCTCGGCGATGCGGTGTGGCTCGCTGAGAGATTGGACATCGACGCAACACTCGGCGAGCTAATCTTTGACCTATTTACAGCTGGTATGCCCCCCACGCACGCAAGCCCACCGCAATCAGCAGCAGCTCCAGCTCCAATCTTCAATCACCAGCTAGAATCGTGTCGTACGTTTTAGTCTGTAACTCCGGATTGCGAGTGTATACGAGGAAACGATTTCGCACAATGCTAGGCGAATGTACTGCGTACGATTTGAGCTCAAGTTGGTTGAGTTACGCTTAGTAAATCGTAGGTATTCTAAGGCTAGTGAATGACGCATTTCCCTTGTTTATTGAAGTCACACTCCTTCCCTATTATCTACTTCTGATAAAATTGATGTAAGAAGTCAGAAGAAAATGCACAATACAGGAATTAAAGTGGCATAAAGACAACCATTTAGGTGGCAGGCCATAAAGACAAGTGATTACCTTGAGCTTGTGATCGGAATCATGCGGAGCCCGGGAGTATACGTACAACCACTCCGGTATTTCTGGAAAACAAATTTGTATTTAAACTGAGAAAAGGAATATAGCTAGAAAATATGAATATGAAATACATGTGTGAATGCTTTTCGTTAACACAGGTGGATTAAAGCCAGGAGTGTGGCTTCCATCCTGTACTTAGGCAGAATTGCTCATCATAGTTTTCACAAAAATAAAAAAATTATCAATTTCAGCAAGCAAGAATACATAATCATCTTTAAACAGAGAATAAAAGCTGTGACTGGCCAAACTGTCGACATAGAAGCTCACCAGCATTTAGGTAAGGGTTGGCTGGTACTAATACGTTATGCTGATGGAACTCTGTGTGACTGGGACCCTGTGAGCCTGTGGAGGGCTGTGTGCTATATCGAAACCGAGGCGTGCACGGATGCCTGTACTGGGCCTTCCTTGTGATGTGACTGCAACGAAAAGTAATCATGTATGTAGATTAAAGGTGTGCCTCTCATATATCTCTCCTCTCTCTTTTTGTACATAATGAACCACAAGAGAAGCCGAATGAAATATGTATGGATACATACATGTCAACAGTACGCAGCTATGAGACAATTACCACACTGTTCAACATAATAAACTGTAATATCAGGAGTACATGAATAGAGAATCTCTATTCAAGTACTCCTGGTAATATCACATCATGAATAAACATGTTCGTACTTGACATAATAAATGCCATGCTCAGGTGATTCTATCCTCTCCCAACCAGTTGGCAAGCCTTCCTTCTCCAGTGGGTGACTCCAGTGAGTTGTTTGAGTATTGTGATCTATGTAGTACTTTCTACCCCTTAGTGTCCTGTCTATCGACCAGCCAGGTGGCAGGGGTAGCTCAGGATCATTTGGACTGCCCGATCCTATTTAGAGAGCATCAGTAGGTACCACATAAATAACAAGTCATAATATATATCATTGTATTATATTTACAACAATCTTTAGGTTTGACCTAATGAACCACTGCAACGTTGATATATATGAACAACTGAATTATTTATTGCTGTTATCCGTATTGACATATAACATCTTAATTAAATATTCACATTAATTACATATATTATAGAATTATATAATGCTCATTAACTACCTGCATCACCTGGATATCAATGGCCACCTATAGTTAAGGGCATGGAATTGCAATGCTTACCGATTCCAAGGGCCTGCTGAGATGCATACTGGGCTTGGCCTCTGACATCCACACGGTACTGGTTCAATGGACGCTCATCATACATCGTGCCAACCTCATCATAATCTGTAATGAGTACAAAGTTAACTTTCCTCTTTGCCACAGATCATTATATCCAGGCAAAGCCCCTTCCCAAAAATAATATTACTATAAATAACTTCCTTGTACCTCACATATGAAAATATTCAAGTGATGGCTCAAAATTAATGTTACAGTAAATTTACGACTGTTTTAACCAATTTCAAAACTCCCATAGTCTCAGGTATGTGGCTAATCACTTACAACATTATATATGTGAGAGTACAACTGACAATTTGTAGCCTTTTTTGAAGGTTGGGTCAAGTGCAAGCAATATTAGATGTGACTACTGGCTCACAACAAACGTTCCACCACTCACATCACTAGTGAGTCACAGCATACACAAGAGCTTGGTACACAGGGCTCTGAGAAAAGATGAGAATGTTAGAAGCACTGACAATATTGAACTTAGAAGCATTCCATAACTACCAAGCAAGAAATGAAGGGAAGCTGATTGACTGATACTGCAATCAGACTTTAGTGTTCACTGAACCCACGCAAGATGTCTTCCATAGGTGCCTATTCTACAAAACATGCCTACGTGGATTGCAGACATAAAGGACGTGCACAGCAACATCATGTCTGTCCTCCTGCGTTACCTTGGCTGTAGTCGTCCTGCGGTGACACGGTCTGTGTGATAACACTATAGCGCGTTGTGACCGGCGGCACCACTGCGGCAGAGTCGTGACCGCTAGTTCTCGGCACGTGGTCCGCCGTCACAGTTATGCTCGCCACGACGGGCCTGTTCACATAGATATAGTCGTGCCCGCCGGTGCTGTACACAGGTCGCGGTGCGTTCGTCGGCTGCGGCGTAGGCCGGTGATAGTCGACCAGGCCGTACGCGTTACGCTGTATTTGCACAAAGCCACTGCCGCTATTGTATGGCGGAATCTTGTTCATTGACGAGGACGACGTCGCCCCGTAGACCGGCTGATACGCTTGCTGAAGGGTGGAACTGGCAGGGTAGGGCATGGTATTCTGTTGACTCACAAACATCTGTGGGTAGCTCGAGGACTTGACGGGCGAGAGTTGGTTCTGTCCGCCCGTCGCCTGGATTCGTCGCTGGAAGCTAACCGCCTGCCTTGCCACCGGTGTGTGATAATCTGCAAGAAGAATTGATACATCAGTTATCCTCTTACACTGTAAATAGTGAGGAAAGCTGATTGTACTATGACAGGGTTCTCCCCAGAGCGCTTTTGAGTATCGGCGCCGATACGCGGTCATTTCGGCCCGATACGCGGTCATTTCGGCCCGATACACTCCAATTGTTCCGATACTCACTCGAGCAGACCCGATACTCTGTTTTGCTGTGCCAATATCTTGATAAATCTTCCAATAAATGCCTATATTTTGTGATAAATACCATTTTAAATCCCTCCATGCATCGTCGATATCCGCCATTTTTGTTTACTACCAATTGGAGACTTCTGCGCGGGTTCTTGCGCAGGTCAATTATGTCACACGCTACGTGATTTAGTTGATCGTTTGGCGGGCTATTTGATAAGACTACACATGATTGAATCATCTCGTTCAGTCATCAGGGATTCAGCAATATGATTGGCTACAAATTTACTATAATCTACTATAATGAACTCGATGACCTCGTAGTACGACGCTGTTTGAATATACTGCTATATTTGGTTGAATTTTTTTTCCTCTCTCTTTCTGACCTTCACCATCAATCAGGATGGATAAATTTATAAAACAGGCTATGTTTATATTTATATTATGACATTATGCAATTATATTGTTACTATTTTATGTCATTTCATGGATCATGAGCAGCACATTTCTCAGTAAAGCAGGCATCAGATGGAACTTGTGTTATCTGATATTTTTAACTACTGCTTTTTGTTGTAAATATGCACTATTTTTTCTGTCAATAAAAACCTGCCAATTTGTGATTTAAACCCCTCAGAATGCAGCACAGAGCACCTAAAAATCAAAATTTTCTTGGGGGGCATGCCCCCAGACCCCCCTAGCACGCCGCGTCTCGCGCCTCCGACGCTCGCCGGACGTCTACGGCGCCCATAGATGTCAATATATTATGTTATCATTTAGGGCTGAAATAATGTCCTGGCTATATCCCTGATACTATGAGTCCAATAATCTTTCACCATTGTTTTATCAAGTACTTACATGTTCTAATAATTTTACTTACAATGCAATTATCGGATACCTCCATTTTCAAGTGATGCCAAATTCAACTTTCCAGCAATATTAATATAGCAAGGTTGATTTGCTTGTGAAGTTTTGGGCCAGAGGCAAATAGAAAATCTATGAGAGACTGCAATAAAATCAACTTGAAGCTCCCACCCACCTTCTCTCTCTCTCTATCTCTCTCTCTCTCTATATATATATATATATACATATATTATATATATATTATATATATACACCTCATTAAATGTTCATTCGGTTGGTAGACTAATAGATATAATACGGTTAATTGTTACTCAACCGTGAAGATTGGAAACGTACAGCTTACGTTTCGCCTCCTGCCAGGAGGCTTTCTCAAAGCTAACTGATGATTAACAGTTTTGACCATCAGATTGTGTGCAACAACATTACGGACCAGGGTATTAGCCAGGGATGAGTATTGTGGAAGTGCAGAAAATATATTTGGGAGTGCAATTTTTTTGTATGTGTGTTTTTAGTTCAATATTTTAGGCCGTGCTACACATTTGTGGCTGTGCAGTTCCAAAACTGACCGTGCAAATCACGGCTGCACGGCTCGCTGGCTAATACGTTGTTACGGACTGTGTCTACAAGATACCGTGTGCAATGTGTGAAAAAAGTTACATTGGAGAAACCGGCCGAAAATTTGAAACCCACCTTAAAGAACATAAAAAGGACGTAGACACCGTAGCACCCAAATCGTTTATAAGCGCCCAACGAAAACAGTCGGCTACCGAAATAACCAAATCCGCGATCACGGACCACGTAGCGAAGGACAATCACACCATCGATTGGGAGAATTCGAAGATCATCGATCGCGAGCCAATCAAAATCAGGCGTTGGATTAAGAAGGACATCTGGATCCGCAAGACCCCGAACATCAACCGGGACGAGGGGGGATACAGGCTTAGTCACGTGTGGACTAAGCTATTGACCACCACACCATCTGGTGGTCAAAAGTTTCAAAACTGATAATCATCAGTTAGCTTTGAGAAAGCCTCCTGGTAGGAGGCGAAACGTAAGCGGTACGTTTCCAATCTTCACGGTTGAGTAACAATTAACCCTGTTATATCTCTCTCTCTCTCTATATATATATATATATATATATATATATATATAAATGTAAAAAATAGAAAAAGTTGTTACATTTTAAACTGCAAGCTTTCGAGAGCCTTCATCAGGCTATACAAAGATTAGCCCAAGTTCTTTGTATAGCCTGATGAAGAAAGATACGCTCGAAACCTTATTCTATTTTTCTACATTTATTTTCATACCTACATAATTTATTATTAAGTGTCCGTGTGTTTTTACTTCTATATATATAATATATATATATATATATACAGGGGTAGAAATGAACTTTTGACCAAGGGAGTCCAACGGACTCTCTGCCCTCAAAAAAAGAGAGTCCGCAGTCTGAGGTTCAAAACTAAAGATATTAACAATAATGCATGTGCTTATTTTTAAGATTCATGCAGTTGCACATCTGCCAAATTTTCTTTGGACATTAGCTAAAAAAATACAGTAATTCCGGGAGGCCGTGCTCAGAACCATCTATAGTTAGTATGGCAGAAATTTCAGGGAGTCACACGAACTCCTGCATATGTCAAATCAGGGAGTCCGACAGTAAATCAGGGAATATTTGACTACGGACTCCCGTTAATTTCGCACCCTGTATATATACATAATAGATCTGTATGATTTTACCTGATTGTAAAAGACAGACATCACAACGACAGGATCTCTTCACACAAGGTGTTCAAAACGACAATCAACAACCATGGTTTCTTGCCTGCCAAAATACTTACTAGGCAAAACAGGTGGCGTATCTTTTTTCACATATTTTCCAACGACTCCATCATTTAGGCTTTTGCCTGCATCCTTTCGTCTAGACAGCATCCTGCATCACACTATATGCAACAAAAAGAAACGGAAAGGAGGCACAAGTTATTTCTTATCTTCTAGCATCAAGTACTAATTAATGCACTATTGCATTCAAGGTTACGATATATCTTAAAAATGATTAATTTTTTTGCACCGCACCCCACTACCGTTAAGCTGAATTCCGAATCCCAACTACACTTTTCCATATTATCCACTTTAAGTAAGACTATATCAGCCCAATTTGAGCACAGTACAGGTCAGTCTTAGCAAGGTACAACCTCGTACTCAGACTTTTGGGGGCAGGCTCAGCACGGGGATGGACACACTCACAACACTCAACAGGTCATCGGGGGATAATACAACTTGTATTACAATACAAGTCAGCACATTACTAATTAGTCATTACCACTGGCAGCAAGAACAAGTCCGCACCTGCAGCTACAGCACACACGCATCTATTGACTATATATAACAACATGGTGCCTAACTCGCCGCCGCACGGACCACAACTCACCGTTTTCAATCAGTTACAACTGCGGTGTTCCTGCAGGTGACGCCACTTTCCAACTATCGTTGAATCTACGATAGTTGGAAAGTGGCGTCACCTGCAGGAACACCAGAGTTGTAACTGATTGAAAACGATGAGTTGTGGTCCGTGCGGCGGCGAGTTAGGCACCATGTTGTTATATATAGTCAATAGATGCGTGTGTGCTGTAGCTGCAGGTGCGAACTTGTTCTTGCTGCCAGTGGTCATTACCAAAACAAACACGACTGTCTCTAAAAGTGTATGTCGATTTGATTAGTGAGCGTTTGGGGCAGGGTGTCGATAGACCGAATGTACTACGACGTGTAATTCATTATCACAGGCACTTGAAGCGTTTCAATAAATTATAATGCTAAATAAATACGAAATCTATTTACTACCAAATTCTTATTATGTTTCTATACTCTCTTTCACCTATTATTGCCAACAGTTTCCTGTAAATTCCGTCCAAATCCTATGTGCAACAAACACTGACTGCCGCCATTCCTCACGTGGCTGCAGTGTGCACACTCACACTTATATATATAGCAGGTAGGAAAGCGGGATCGCAAAATTCGCTTGACGCTTGCTTGATTTCACACTTTCACAGCACGAATACACATCCAACAGCTTCCATCTTCGTTTCTCTTTCAAGAACAGTGTTTACTTGTTATAAAAACATACTGTCTCTGTTCGTAACCAAGCTGCGTCACGCGAAATCACACAAAGACTGACGAAATTCTCGCGTTCGCTAACCATGCCCAGTAAATGTAAATGGCTGCAAGTACAGGGCTATATAGACTGGTACTCGCTCCCACCCCGATTACCCATCGAGTAACTAAGCTACGCCGAAAGATGGGAGCGAGTGCCAGTCTATGGGCTATAGGCGGCGCGCAGGCGGCGCACTGCTTCCAACTCCCGTACGAGCCTCACCATTGTAGCGTTGGAAAAACGTTGCAGCGTTGCGGCGCAAGAATGAGGTCACGAAGAGCGCCAGTGGGTGTTTCCTGATTCTGACAGCCATTTACATTTACTGGGCAAGGTTCGCAAACGCAAGAATTTCGTCAGTCTTTGTGTGATTTCGCGTGACACAGCTTGGTTACGAACAGAGACAGTATGTTTTTATAACAAGTGAACACTGTTCTTGAAAGAGAAACAAAGATGGAAGCTGTTGGATGTGTATTCGTGCTGTGAAAGTGTAAAATCAAGCGAGCGTCGAGCGAATTTTGCGATCCCGCTCTCCTACCTGCTATATATATAAATATATAAGTGTCAGTTTGCACATTGCAGCCACGTGAGGAATGGCGGCAGTCAGTGTTTGTTGCACATAGGAATTGGACGGAATTTACAGGAAACTGTCGGCAATAATAGGTGAAAGAGAGTATACTGTATAGAAACATAATATTAATAAGAATTTGGTAGTAAATACCGGTTAGATATCGTATTTATTTAGCATTATATTTTATTGAAACGCTTCAAGTGCCTGTGATTCTTATAGTTACTTACAGTCACAAGAACAATTAAAGTGCCGTGTGACTGAGAGGTTGCAAACTACTATCGCACTCTCAAACTCGGTCAGTCCTCCATCGGTATCACTATCACTCCGTATCAGTATCAGTGACAGTGACAGTGTCACCATGTCTCGAGTGGATTGTACTATTATTAAGCTTCATTAAATCGTAAAATACTACGATTAACTGTCCTGCACATAATTTAACTTTTCTATTAACTATAGCAAGCACAAATACATGAACACGTTAACCCGACTGATACAAAAACTTAAACGAGAGTATACAGTTAGTATCGCACAACCGCTCCATCTTGTAATTACGTGTGTTCTACGTCATCAAAACATGTGCAGATGATGAGGTCACGCTCATCTCCATGGCAATTACACAGACGCTAACGTTCGGGAGATACAATATCCGTAAAATGTCCATAAAATTAGTCTAAGTCAGCAAAGGAACATGTCAGGTCAAGTGCAGGAAGAAGATTTTGTAAATGCTAAAGCATATTTGTTACAGTCAAACCTGTGAGTTAACTTAAGCTCAGATAAACACTTGTTTAGTTGTTAGTGTACTGTGTACAGTGTGAGTGTGACTGTGAGTGTGACTGTGAGTGTGAATGTGAGTGTGAGCACTCACACGGCCCAGGGATAGAGAAGATGTCCAGTCCTATCTTATCAACTAACATCATCCTATCCAATCACCGTACAGAGAGAAAATTTTTCCACGAGCACTAAGAAGAGGAAGCAGTTATTCGCGGACCCTACACCTAAGCCAGCTAAGTAGTGAAAATTTAATTGAGCACCACTCCATGGTATTAAATCGAAATTTAAATAAAAACCGCCCAAGCAGAGGCTGGGGAGTACGTCAACAGCAACGATAGCGGTCGTTCCGAAGACGCCAGCATATTTTATGCGTTAGGTTAGGGTTAGGGTTAGGATTAGGGTCTTGGGTTAATGGTTAGGGTTAGTTTAAAGGGTATCAGGGTTAGGGTTCTTGGAGACTATATGACGAGTAAAAGACTCTGTCAGGAGTCGTGAATTTAGGTTATCCACAAGGCGTTGATAGTATTTCGAAATCTGGCGCCGACCGGCCGTCCATCGTTTGTCTCGTTAAGTATGAAAGCGAATGGGAGCTGGCGTACCCGTACCTCGAGAATTAAGATACGGCTGGCGGTACCCGTAGCCACTGGCCTTTAATTAAATAAAAAAAACATTTTAATTAAATTGTTTATAAATATAAATCATGTAAATATTTGCACGTAA